CACACTTGCAACGTGTACGTTTCATTAGCTGCCAATATAACATCAGGCATATTTGTCATGAGACCAACATCTGTTACACATGGTTAAGCCAAATGATTAGTTTTTTAAAATAAAAGGTGAAAAATGTAAAAACAATTCCATTACTGGTCATCCCAATGATCGGCGGATTAGGTTCATCTAAGTACATCATACTTTTATAAATGCCTATCCAATCCTCAGGGGCGCCATGTTTGACATAAGTCGAGCGCAAAATTACCGACGTGTTTGTACGGTCACGTCGACCGGGAATAAGTAGATGGCATAAATAAGTTGTATTTATGTTAACATTAAAACCAGTGATTGAATGCCAGGCAGCGGTGGTATTACAGTTTCCTTCCCTCAGCACACGGCGCACAATGAGCTGATAGTCGACCCTTTGGTGAAACACTAGTTTTAGTTGATTAGTGTTTGAAGGGATTATTGCTGGTCCGTATGAGCGAGAGTAAAGTGTAATTAACTTGTGACGATCGCTAACATCTCTATCCACGTTATCGTAGACGATAAATAGGGGCTGGTCGGATGAGCCAGGTAATATTACCGAAGCGTTTAGCTCCAACACTAATTGGTGCTCATTGTCGGACTCAAACGTGTATATAACGGGAGTTGACTGTATATGTGTTGTTGTGTTCAGATTTAACCGTAAATTATAGGTGTCTTCATAAGCCGGAAATCTGTAGTTAAATCCTATAACAATAATATCATATTATTTTATTTGAATCTATAAAGTAAATAAATCGCTTGTGATAATAGTTTAATTATTAAATTAAACTTTAATTAGTACACGTTACTATTAAAAACTTCTACATAAAAATATTAATGACTTTATTTTAATAAAAATGATTTATTAATTTTGCCTCAACAAACTGTAATACTGTAATATCTACATAGACATTATAATTATACCGATATTATAATGCTATAGCTTAATGGTATTTCTATGGAGAATTCAAGTACTACTATAATTTATAAATATATTTATAATTATGAGAGTAATAATTTATAATAAATATTAACATTTCACTTTATCAATGCTTACCGTGATATACCGTTTCTATGCCAATTAAATTATTATCGCTACGAGTAGTGTTGACCACACGTCTCGACTCATACGTTACAGTTATGGTGTTTGCTGTCGATTGCAAATACTTTGTGCGCCAATACGTGTCCAGCAATTGTCGCTCAATGACTGCGAGCGGAGGGCACTGTTGGGACAGACCGTCCGATACGGTCATAATGTCGGCGCTGTTTATAAACGCCTTAAATTGATCTAATTGTAGCTCAAATCTGGCCGATACATCATGGTGCTCATAGATGTTGACACATTTATACTGGTGTAATGTTTGCAACGCTTGGTTATTGGGCAGGAGTATCGTGGTGCCATTTTCGGCCTCGGTTATCTTAAAATGTTTTTATTTTATTAATATCTTATAATTGTATTTTTATAAATTACAAAATAATTATATTTATAAGTTACTTGTACGTAAAATAATTTACGTTTTCAATATTACAAGTTAATATATTGTATATTAAATAATATAAAAGTTACATAAATAATATTTGTTTAATATTATGCAAACTGTAAATATAAAGTGTTTATATAGTAAACTGTTACGATTTAAAAATATATATATAAAATTGGAGTAGACGCGATAAAGCTTATAATTAATGTCTAGAATAATTTAATTTTTTGTTTGTGTCGTACCTGTTTGTATTGACTGCACTGCGAGTCCACTACTTCGTACATAAACCTGATGTTTGCACTACTCGACGACTCGCATCTATAGCCTCTAATCATAGCCACAATCTGTTGACCCGTCGACAGCAAAAACTCCGGTCGAGTAGTGTTGCCATCAAACAACTGTTCCATTCCATACTTCTCAACCTTATAGAATCTGATTGTACCACTTTTTAAACCACCAGGTTCCATACTCATCAACAACTTTAACTGCGTGTGTCTGCTCTCAAAAACTAGATCAAAGTCAAGGCCAGTGGACGGAAACTTCATATCCCGGTGCGAGTATGGAAACACATACCGACCCGGACTGTCAATACGGGTCAGTTGTGCCCTCAGGTCCTTAGTATTGTAGTCAACGTCCCATTTGCGGTCCCAGGGGTCAGATGACAAGGTCAAGGTTACCCTCACCACTTTATGCCCGGTAGGTAATAGAATTACACCTGGCTCCAATTGACCGTAGTGTTCGTAGAGCACAGATTTACCATCCCGAGTAGTGACCCTGAGCAAATCTCTACTATTCAATGTCATTGCTTGAATGTCCATGTGTATTATAGCCGGTACCCACGCGCCGGTCCCGTTGATGAGCCACTCGCATGTATGACCGGCCAGTTTGTGGGGCGCGATATTAATGGCGAGTTTACCGGTCGGGGCATTGAGTGTGGGACGAGGTTTATTCGGATTGCAATCTATTAATTAAGGTTACTTTTATTGTTGATATTATTTTGTAAAGTTAGTTATTTTTCTACAACCGTATGATATTTGTGACATACCTGTGCCCAAGTGCTCATTGCCTTTAGTGACTGATCCTGATATAATTATTAACAAACCGATGATTGTAAATTTATCCATTCTTATTAAGAGCAAGGACAAAACAAAGAGAGTTATAGTTATGTAACAAAGACAGGCACTAATGTCATGACTACAATAATGATTTATTATATTTATAATAAACATCAAACATCATAAGTCTTATTTTTAAAAATAATCAATAAAATTTATTGCATAAATAATTCCTTTATTAATTTTACATTTACATTATAAGTATGAAAATATGAATGTACCAATAGTTACTAATATTAAACACAAGAATAACCAATGTTGTTTGTTATCAGCAAATCAATTTGTAATAATTTATTTATTTATTTCAAATATAAATATTTAAGAAATGAATATAAGATATAATATAATAAAAATAATAATAACTTGTATTGGATTTGTCACAGCACTACAAACTGTAATAATAAACTTGACATTGTATTATAATTATGGTAAAAAAGTAATGTTATTTTATCTGGATATTTTTTCTGATTTAAATATTATTTATTAGTGATAATAAGTTTACAAATAATTTTTTTCTACTTAAAATTTATACATGCTTTAAAAAATAATACGATTGCAAAGATTTAGGTGCTTTTATAGTAGATTTATTAGCAATATTAGTTTTTAAAAATTGAATGGAATCAATAAACAACATACATGTAGATGCACATTATTTCTTATGTAAATTTCAGCTATAATCAATTTGATATTAATATAAAGAATTTATTAAAACTACTGTATTTACATGATTATTTTTAACAATTTATTCAAGTATTTTTCAATTTACAATAATTACATGATTTCCCTCGTATTCTGCAAAAAGTCCTAAATTCCCGTTAATACAGGAAATTGCTAAACGTGTAGCAAAACTAGAGAGAGAGAGAGAGAGAGA